TATATATATATATATATATATATAAAATGCGGGGTTTGGGGGGGCATGTTGATGAAAGATCATGAATATATCCTTTTTTTGCTTAGGTAACGTATTACTGAATCATGCACAGGACTAGGAATGAGTATTAAGAAAGTACATTTTGATTGTTTTATTTCTTTAAGCAAGTTTTTCCACCTTATTGATACTTCATGAGAGCAGTGTTGCAGATGTCACATTATCAATATTGTTTGTGTGTGTATATATATATATATATATTTAAATACATCTGTGAAGCAACAACGCATTAAATTGTTAAAAAAGTGACAGCAAAGACATTTCTATTCTTAGTAACAATTCTTTTTTGAATAAATGCTGTTCTTTTGAACTTTCTACTCATCAAAGAATCCTGAAACTATGTATCACAGTTTCCACAAAAATATTAAGCAGCACAACTGTTTTCAACATAATAATGTCATCATATTAGAATCATAATAATGTCATCATATTAGAATGATTTCTGAAGGATCATGTGACACTGAAGAGTAATGGCTGCTGAAAATTCAGCTTTGCAATCACAGGAATACATTTTAAAATATTCAAATAGAAAGCAGTTATTAAATTGTAATAGTATTTCACAGTATAACAGTTTTTACTGTTTTTTCATCAAATAAATGCAGCCTCTAGGATAAAGTCAGAAAATGAACAAGATACCCAAGTTTTGTCCCTAAGACTAAAACGTGTATTACCAAAGTATAAACCAATTCCTCGAAAAGAGAGACATTAACATTACGTACTGAGTGGGATGATGTCCATGTGCTATTTTATCCCTGGACAGATGAAATGAGCCATTGACAGTTCAGCTCAGAGTTTCTGTATACCATGTTTTATTGGCTTCATTATAAGCTGATGAAATCCATTCGCATGCTGTCTTCAGCTCTTAGTCTCTGTTCAATCTAAACTTGCGTTTTATGGACCCAGACACTATGAGTAGATCTGGAAATAATATTACCATTATCTTTATTTCCAAACAGTCAAAACATGAAATCTGTGTATACTTGTTTGAAATTTCATTTGCTGGCTTTCTCTCTCCTGTCATCTCTGTCTTTATCTAGGGCCCTACTGGACACACGTGCTCTTCACATGGACCCAGTTGGAGGGGTTAAAGGTCTACATTAATGGGACATTCAGCGTCGGAGACCCCACAGGAAATATTTCTCATAACTATGGCGATCCCTATGCTGACCTGGTCATTGGCACAGGAAACAATGTGAATTACAACCACTATGCCACAGGGGCCTTTGATGAGTTTGTGATTTGGGAGAGGGCCTTGTCCCCTCAGGATATCTGGATGTACTACAAAGCAGCCACTGGTAAGTTATTATGGAGCTCATTGTGACTCAAATCTGCTGTCATTATCATTTCATTTATCTATACGTTTATTTTCTCTGTGGCAGCCTTCACTTGTCCCAACCATGTGCTTCTCTGCAGTTGTCAGCCATTGCCGTTGTTGTCAGGGCTTCCCAAATTAGCTGCACTTGATCTTTGTTGTCTCTGGCTTGTCCCAACTTGCCTTTTAGCAGATGGCAGCACCCCATGTTTTTCAATATATTGAATATTCCTGGTTAATTCTGTCTGTCTTTATTCATTTGAAGTACAATAGCAATTAAGCCACTGAACAATTAAAAGAATTAAGCAATGCTTAAATGTATGATTTTTTGTTATTGCATTGAATATAGAAAACATTCAACTTTATTAAAGTAGTATATGCACACAAAACTGTTTTTTTTAATAAAAACCTTAAAGATAAAATAAAATAAATCCCACTTGAGTTGATGTTTTGTGAGCAGAGATTAAATAATTATTAATATTTTTAATACAGTAGGGGTCAGTAAGGTTTTTTATTCAGCAAGGATGCATAATCAAAAGTGACAGTGAACATACAGTACTTATAATGTTGCTTATAATGTAAGATTTTTATTTAAGATGTGTGCTTTCCATTCATTAAAAATTCTTTAACAAACCTGTTCACATCATGTTTTCCAGAAAAAATATATATATTAGGCAGCACAACTGTTTTCAATACTGATAACATAACAAAATAAGAAATGTTTCTTAAGCTCCAAATCAGCATATTAGAATGATTTCTAAAGGATCATGTGACACTGAAGACTGGAATAATGCGTTTCCATTATAGGATTAAATTACATTTTAAAATATATTAAAATAGAAAACATTTTCTAATTGAAATAATAGTCCCCAATATTACTGTTTTACTGTATTTTTGATCAAATAAATGCAAATACAAGTAAAGTCTTGGTGAGCATAAGAGACTACTTTCAAAAACACTTTAAAAAACACTTTCCAATCCCAAACTTTTGAATGGTAGTCCGTGATCTAGATTAATACAAAGAAAAAAAAGTGTACTTTGAAGTGCCATTGGTGGAGATCATGGCCAAAAAGTGGATTTCAGAATGTTCTTTTGACTGTATGGATAAGAAACATCTGTGATGTTGCCGCTTTGTTTGTTTTTTGCCATTTTTGGAGTCATTACCCTGCATGCAGGTTATTATAGAGAGGAAGAAGCATTTGAAGACAATTTCCTTCAGAGACACTGGTCCACATTCCACCAGTCCTCAAAACGAACCACATTGAAATGCACTGTTGAAATACCATTAAATGTTTGTTCTTGCGTATGTGTCCTCAAAGGCCGCTTTGATGGCTTTGGTTGTAACTGCGCATATCTTAACCTTATATGTATGTGGCGGCGGGACGAGTTTTATATCAGGGTTTTGTTTTCTTTTCAACTGCAAGTGTTTGGAACCTCGTCTGGGCAGTTGGTTGGAGTTTCTTGCAGGCAAGATGCTTTAGTGTGGCAAAGATAAATTTAACAAATGGTTTCCATCTTCATCAGTATCAGAGAGCAGACCAATGAGGTCTTTAACACCTGGAGATTGCTGTCCATTAACATTCCCATTCATCTCAATGCCGGTTGGCAAATGCCCACCATAATGGTGTAGGTAGAGAATCTTCCAGCAAGGGCTAACAGGGCCATGCTAATGAGACAAACCTTGACCTTTTAGACCAGACAACACAAAATGCTTGAAGTTATGCCTTTCCATTACCATACGAAGATTATATTTTAATAAAATGTAATTAAATTAAGTACAATACTGAACTGGTCGTTTAAGGTCAGACCTGGAGTGATGCATTGTCAGTATTTTTGTCTGTTTTCCAGTAAATATTTAAACATCCTTAAAACAAAATACATTTACTGGAGAATTAAAATTGGTGAATAGTTTATTTCTTCCTCTTTTAAGCATGTATTTCTAAAACAGTAATATCCAAAAATAAATACTTTGGATCCAGCGTAAGTCACATTGAATAAAAGCATCTGCCAAATGTGTACATGTAAAATGTAAAATCATGCTAAAATTCAGTACCCTGTCTCCAATACCTTAATTTTAAAGGGGTCATATGATGCGATTTCATGTTTTCCTTTCTCTTTGGAGTGTTACAAGCTCTTGGTGCATAAAGAAGATCTGTAAAGTTGCAAAGACTAAAGTCTCAAATCCAAAGAGATATTCTTTATAAAAGTTAAGAGTCAGCCACGCTACCTAAAACGGCTTGTTCTAACACGCCCCCACATGTCTACCTCACTATGTGGGAAGATTTGCATAACGCCGCCCAAATGTTCACGCAAAGAAAGAAGGCGTAACTTTTATTCTCACTGTAGTATTGTTGCCGCCGCCGTGTCGTGAAGACGCTGTGTTTCGTTGTGAAAGCGAAACTACTTTGTTTGGCCTTCCAAAAGAGGACGATATCCGCTTCGTCATGCCTAGAGCTGATCCGTGCTGGTCGCTGAAGGAATACATCAACTTCGCGCTGTGGATCGCAGGATCAGCTTTCACCGTGGACGAAGCAGAGTCCAGCCCGGGGTCGTCACATGTGGTTCGCCGCTCACTCAAGCCCGCCGTGTATGACGCTGTATTTCGTTGTGAAAGCGAAACTACTTTGTTTGGTCTTCCAAAAGAGGACACGACTAGAAATCAGTGGTTAAGTTGTATCTACAACACTGTTCCAGAACAGTTCAACCCAAATATTCAGATGTGTGCATCACATTTTATGGAGGACTGTTTACTGATCCTGGGAGAGTAGACTACAATGCCGGCTGTTCTGACTCACAGACTGTAAGTACGTTTTTTATATATAAAGAATTGCCACTAATGATTCAAACGCGAGTTTTGAGCAGTGTAGGGGCATAGAGGAGAAACAATAATGTACAGTATGTAGAAAATAATGTGTTTTTTGAACCTTAAACCACATAAACACATTTCATTACACCAAATAATGTTCTTTTTAGCAACATCATATGACCCCTTTAAAATAAATTTATACCTCAACAATTTTGTTGTAAGTAAATTATTGAAACTTTTATGGTGCAACTTTACAATTCAGTTCCATAAACATCCATACTGGCATTTGAACAAATATGGATCCATGGCTCTTTAAAGAGGGATGATAGTGATTATGTAGGTCGATGTTGGCACTCTGGAGGAGGTATTGGCCACCACTTTAGAAACTGAAATATATCCTCTCACAGCACTGATTGTTAGCCACTGTTAGGGATAAAGACCTTTTGTTAATGATAAAAAAAACATGTTGTTGTTGAAGAAGAGAAAATCTACTGTTGTTTTGCTCACGTCCAGCTTTAATAGGCTCTAATGAGGGGCATAGTACAGAGTCATTAGAGAGCTGCTTTTCCAGGGGCCCTATAAACCAGCCTCAATGCAACCGACATGTGCGTTCAGGGAAAGGTATCACGTGCCTTTCCAGCAGGTGTGAACTATTAGTTCCATGAGATGAAGAGAACTTGTTCAGAGCTCTTTAGTTCATAGCTTCTGTGCATAGCTTTGATGTCATATAAATAATTATTATTACATCATTCAATTATTATTTCTTTTTTATTCTTATTTTTTTTATTTAATCAAATAAATATTAGAAATATCAAATATTTGATAATTTTACCCATTTTTAATCATACATTTAATTTTATTTATTATTCATATCTGTTTTCTTTGCACAGCATTTCATTTATTTTTGTCACCACAGGTGAGAATGTGATGTCCACCTTCCCAACCGAAGCATCCATCAATGTCACTGCTGCAACAGATACTCAGTTAAAGGTAAATTCTTCTGACCTGAGGTCACCCGTTGCACTTTCTGAATCTGTTTCTGTGAGTTAGGACTGTAGTCTCTCGAACCAGAGGAGTATAGAAAGATAACAGCAGAAATACAACTTCATCACATATTACTCCAAATTCCAGGGTTATCTAGGAGATTTCACATGGCAGGAGCACTCATTAGAATATTCCCAAAAAAACACTGAAACTTTGAGGGCAGTCATTTTGTTTGACTAATGTACATAAATGCAAACACATCTGTAATGAGGGTAAGCACTAACCTGTCTCTCTTCCCTCTCAGTAAAAGTAAGAAATAAGTTCTTGCGGTGAATTCGCCAGTATCTAATTACGAAACATATTTGTTTTTGGTTTCTGTTAGTTTGATTAATTGAGCTCACTGAAACGACCACAAGTACAAGGCAGGATTTCTCACTCATCAGCCTTAATCGAAACCATCCCAGCCTGGCTAGATTAACTGCAGTGAAGTCCGTTTTTGGAATTTAAGATTCATGAGTTTATTTAAGCAAAATACCAACTAATCCCCCCAAAATACACTTCATAACCCTTGAAGGGTATGTATGTGATTTATTTATACGTCACCACTGTCAGTTAATTGCAAAAAAATCATTCCTGAGTCAGTGTTATTTTAGTGTCACTGATATGCTATTATAGTTTTTGCTAGTATTTTGAATTAGATTATATTTTTATAATTTATTTTTCATTTTAAATTTTACATTTTTTGGTCATTTTGTTGTGTTTTTATCATTTTGATCATTTTTTAAATATGTCTATATTAAGTTTCAGTTAGTTTCACTTTAATTTAAACTAAACAACAATTAGAAATGTTGCCTTGGCAACTAGCTGAAATAAGTTTCATTTGTTTATATTGTATTTTATTTTAGTTATGATAATAACCCTGTCCCAAACCATCACCCAGTCTGCCATTGGTCAAGCAAACAGAGTTAGTCCCGCCTCAAACTTACGCCATTGGTTGAGCCAATTTTGTTAGCTGAGCTGCTCAAACAAACACTTTTCAAGGCAATCCACCTACTTTTCTTAGATGCTATTCATACAGAATGTGTTTTTACATTTTAAAACTTGTAACATAGGGCAGTGAATTAAAAAATAATAAAAATTCTAGGGCTATTTTTTTTTTAAGTTGAACTTAAACTTGAATGATGTGTCATGTGAAATGTCGGAAAAGATGTGAGGCACGAATGCAATGGCCACAGACGCCGCGGTGTAAATGTGAGCATATGGAGAACAGCAGTCACCGAGTGCAGTACACTCAGACTGTTGACTTCATTTGAATGCTAGTAAATTAAGTTGGCCATTCAAGACACTGACATATCCTCTAAAGGCTCTCAGCGGTGTTTGACACACCTCCTTTTACAGGCTCTCAGTCTGTCTGCTCGGATTCTTCTCTGCGCAGTAATTAAATGGAGTGGACGAACACAGACAAACACACACATACACATGATTAGGGCCTCCCAGACTACACCTCACACACCCTTGGATGATTAGGTGTTATGAAGCTGATGCAGACGTCGCTCTGGGACCGTCCATGTGTGTATAGACGCACACACCCTTGGCAGACGTACAAGAGCACAGCAGGAAATGAGGTGGAGGCCGAAGCTGTAAACACAAACAAATTCAGCTCTTTCGGAACTAGTGTTTCCCCCCAGACTCTGAGGAAATGGAAAGAAATCAGAGTTTGAGCATTCACGCAAATGACAACACTGGCTGTTATTGAGTAAGGAGGTCAAGTAGAAGAGAAGATTTTCCGTAATGGCCTCTTATAGGGTATGGATGAAAAAATGAGACTTTAAGCAATTAGTTTGGAGGTTCTTTCTTCAGACTTCTTTGGAAAGTTCAAGTCAGACTGGCATTCAGCTTTGCTGTTGACATTGACATTCACAAATCCTTTGAGAATGAGATTTAATTAAATAATTTCAGCTGTACTGTAAGCGCCAGTGATTCTGATGCGTGTTGAAATTATTATATTAGGTTATGGGAAACCACAAAAACGCATTTATATTTTGAATGTCAAGTCCAAGCCACACAGAGCCATTACATGTGATTGTGGGTCATTTTATGGAGTGCTGTTGACACATACTGTATATAGCAGATATTTTTGTGTGTGTTACAGAGAACCACAGAGATCCCCCGACCTACTTCCACAAACCTGACAGAGGAAGTTCAGAGACTTCAGGACCCCATGCGGTTACAAACGCTCGACCTCCTTCAGTCTCTATCATTTAACTTTCCAAACAACACTATACCTCAGGAAACAGCCAACAATCTTACACAGGTGAAGATAGGACGTTTGAGGGTTTTGGAAATCATAAAGAAACATTGAGATAAAAGAAAATAATTATTTCAGAATCTGCATTATTTTTAGGTCTTTATGAAAATAAGTACATTTGTGACATTGATTGTGTGATTATTGTTATAGACAATATTACTGCAATATTACTGTTTTTACTGTATTTTTAATCAAACAGTGAATGCAGCCTTGGTGAGCATAAGATACTTCTTACAAACATATTTTTAAAAAAACTTACTGACCCCAAATTTGTGAACAGAATTGTAAATCACAGTGGGGGGAAAAAAGAAAAATAGAAGCATCTTCACTGTTTCTTTTAGACTTAACACACACACACAAGTTTTTAACTATGCATCATTCTGCTCTATGTGTTTTAGTCTCTACTGAAAAGTGTGGATGAGGTCATAATTGCCAGCGACTGGAGAGAAAATGATGAGGTACGTTTAATGGATAGATTGATGATTGCAAAGATATAAAGATTCTATCAGTCCATTCATTCATAAGTAGGTCCAGATGAATCTGCAGACTTTTTACACATTTCAGTGGTTCCTTTGAGGGAACATACTGTATGTAGAACTGAAAGAATGTGTTAAATGGAGCTGAAGGTACTACAAACCTATTGGTAGCTGAAAGAATCATCAGGTTTGTAATATACTTTGGACTTGTCTTTTATCATGGTAAACAGTGGAGTCCAGTGGTCAGTGGGCTGGTGGAGACTGTGGATAAAGTGATGGTGCATATGGTCTCCAAGCTTCGGTCCAGCCCAGACGCAGAGGCTCCTTTGGCCATAGGGGGCAAGAGCTCTGTAGCAGGTCAGTACACACTCCAAAACACTTCTTCAAACTTTCATTTCTAGAATATCTGTTCTTAGAAATTCACACTTCCTCTGGCTTGAAGTATGTGGAGTATGTCCAAGTATGCTCAAAGGGGAACGCATACCTAATACACATGCATGAATGCAGCATACAGGGTGTGTGTCACAGTGTACAATTAGGCCTGAGTTAAGGAATTTGAAGTTTGAGATATGAAACATGAGTTGAAAAAGCTAAACAGCCATATTTTACAATTTTATGTTATTCCAAGATGTGATAAATGTTTTAACATATATTAGAAACTGTTGGAACAAGTTGATTTATGTTCATAATGATTTTAAGTAGTCAGAAGTGCTACAAATTAAGGAATCAAACACAAATGTGCATGTCTATCTTGTCTTTTGAAAAAAAAAAAACATGAAATGTTTTGACCGTGGTTGTTTGGGTTATTGTAGCTTTTCTGGGTCTGGAGACAGCGTTTTCTCTGCCGTCGCACAGCGTCTCACCACCAACCATTTATTTTCTGTTGCGGTCTTCCCTAGACTAACTTAGACCGTAACAGAAATTGGTTACAATAGCATTGTCACGATACCAAATTTTAATAGCATATACTGTACTGTACTGTACTGTACTGTACCATTAGTGTACCAGATAATTTCACAATTCTGTGCCAGTTTTAATATCACCAGAAAAGTGATAATACTGTTGATTCTTTATTTTAAGAAACAAAACAACATACAGAATTACTGGTTTGATTACATCATATAATAATTGCTGTTAATAGTGTTCATCGTCTGTTTGATTACGTCTTTAATTGATTTTCCCACATGACAGTCACCACTGATAAGCTATATTAGTGGAAACTTAATTTTCTGTAAACGATTTGTATCGTAAAAAGGGCTATAAAAATAAAGTTGAACTGAATTGAATTGAATTGAATTGAATTGAAATGTGACAATTCCACTTAAAATGTGAGTTTTGTTACTAGTTTAAGTATTTGCTATTGACTGTTCAAATGCGTCAAATGAGTTTTGCGCATCGTGTGTGTGTGTGTGTGCGCGCGCACGCGCATGTGTGTGTGTGTGAGAGAGAGAGAGAGAGAGAGAGAGGCGTTTGAGAGAGGCGGGGCATATAGTTATGTGTTTTAAAAGTAAAATTATGTGTTTTCTGAACGTTAAAGCATGTCAACATATTCTGTTACACCAAATACACAAAATAATGATCTTTAAAAAAGCATCATATGACCCCTTTAACTGATAGTCACTACTAAGCTACTACTAAATATATTGTAGAAACTTAATTTTCTGTAAAGTTGCTTTGCAACGATTTGTATTGTGAAAAGCGCTATACAAATAAACTTTAATTTAATTGAATTTTAAGTTATTATTAAGTTATTTTTAGCATTTTTTTTTTGTTAAAAATATTGTGAAATATATTGTGAAAAAAACGGTTGTGGTTCTTAATATTTTTGTGGAAACCATGATACATTATTTCAGGATTATTTGATGATTTGATTCATTTATTTAAAATAAAAATCATTTGTAATATTAATAATGTCTTTGCTGTCATTTTTTATAAAACAAATTCAATGTAGCTTTCACATTTTTTTTTCAATTAAGTAAAAATTGCTTCAAGTTAATCAGACAATTATTCAAGACATGTAAACGGTCTGTAATAAAAATAAGTTACAAATTACAAACAACAGAGCTGATATAAAGTTGAAGTAAACAGTGTTGACTGTGTTTATATTAAAAATGTACACACGTGTAGCCACTTGTCACAGAGAAATGTATGTGAGATTTTGTAACAAACTGCCTTTCAGATTGAAATCACACAGTTTGAAATTCCATTCAGTACTCAGTACCACCTCTGGTACCGACTTGGTACCAAAATGCTGGTCCTTTTGACTTTCTAGTAAGTGATGCAGTAACAAAGAGTATACTGTGAACGGTGACCCATCTTTTTTTTTTTTTTTTTTTAATGTCACACAAGGGAAAAGTTACATCTCAGTACCAGGAGAGGCCCTCACAATGCAGTGTGAGTATGCACATGTCTCAAAGCACAAAACCCTAAAAACTGGTGTTGATCCATGTCCCGATCCCGCAGCTTTATGTTAATGATTGTTTATTACTGGAGTAGGCACATTTTATTTTATTTTATTTAGTGATTTCACCAGACCAGGGTGCAGGTTGTCCTGTGCCGTCATGGAGAACAGTGCCTGTCTATGTCGCCTATGCCATCCGCTACTGACTAATGTGATAAATCATGCTTAAAGTAGCAAACTTTAATGCTTTTCCACTCGCTTAACCACAATTTAGCCATAATGTGCATAATGGAACAAACAAAACTTGGACTGGAGCGTAGACATATGAAATGGAATGGACTGCTAAACAAACTGCCAATCATATTTTCTTTTTTGAATAGAAGGTTGTTGTTCTGAATCATTCCTACCCAATTTAAACCCTGATTATGAGTAAATGTGCGCACACACTTCTCATTGCTCTTGGACACCTCAGGCTGGGGTGAAAGAACACATTGTTTTCATAAGAGGAGGATGAGGGACATTTATTTGTTGTCTGTTTATTTGTTGTTTATGGTTGAAGAGTACAGTGCAATCAACTCTGATGACTTCCTGCTGCTCTCTGACGAAAACTGCCAATCACACAAGTCCCTCAAGGAGAGTTTCATTAAAAACAGAGAAAGTGTGTGCGCTTGCCTTTTTTAATGTATAAATGCGAGCTATAGTTGAAGAATGAGAGTTGCAATGTTTCCCATGTGGCGGCGGTAATTATGAGGGCATTAAACGTTTTGTTTGTTTGACACCGTTTTGGGGTCAGCTCCCCTCAGCTCCTCTGGCACGGTGCTGAACCTGAGCCCCGCTCCGTTCATTATAAACAGTTTTAATAATCTATTAAAGCTCTATTGTCAGAAATGGCACATAAACGCTAGCACTGGCATTCATGTGCCACTGAACCCCTTCTCCTGTGCTGCCGGACATATGGTACACTTCATTAACAGAAACTAGCAGAGCTTTTATATGCCAATTAAAGGCTGCGAGAGAAGGAGCGCATTGAAACACTCTGTATTTCCGCTGGGCCAAGTTTCTTTTAGTCTTAATAAAAACATTTGTAGAGAGATTTTGCCCATTGGTTTGTGAGGTTATTGGCCCAGAGCTCATCTGAAGCCCAACTCAGAAGAGTTAGTTTGGGCACAGTGATATTGCATATTCGGTCCATTAACACCTGTAAAAACACTAATAAGTTGCAGCAGTTCTCAGCATGTTTCACAGTAACCAAAACTGCAAATAAGCACCACTATGGTGCTTTTTTCACAAGCAGATTGTAATTAAAATGATTGTTGATTATTCATTTGTTTTGATATTGTTCTGATTAACTAAAACTATTAAAAACTGATTTTGGTAGTTGAAATAAAATAGAAATATTAGATGAAAAACTTAAAAATGTAACAACAAAAATGTTTGTTGAAGTAATAAAATTGCTAAAACTAAAAACTGAAATAAAAATAAAAAAACTAAATAGAAATATTAAAAAAATGAGAAAACCACATAATAAAATGACTGAAACCAAAACTAAAATTAAAATTAAAATATAAAATAAATTGTTTATTTAAATAATATTTACAGCTGCTTGCTCGATTTTTGTCTTGCTCAAATTGCTGAATCATTTTATTGCTTTATTAGACATCAGTTAATCAAGACATTTACAAAAAAATAAATAAAAGGCACTCTAGAGTGTCTGGTGATTTCAGCATTTATTTTCATCTGCCACTGTGATCAGGTTGCTTTAAACTGGTTGTTGCTAAGAATTGGCCTAGACTAATTTAAATGCCTTGAAGTGGTTTCTGTGGTCAACTTCTGCATAAAAAGCATGTTGTAAATGGTAGTATAATTAAATGTAATACTGTAAATAATACTTTGATCCCAATCACAATGTAAATTATTTATACAATTAATTGTGTGGTTCTAATTCAGGCACTGATGATATGATATTGCCAACAGTTGGTATATATACAAATATACAACAGTTATTTTACAAGGTTATTTACACAAATTCTTCTGTCAAATTATGATAATAATGATTGTGTTTTCATGCGAATACAGAAGTTGAACTTAAATGAAAATGGCCATATGTATTTATCATATAATGGTTGAAAAAGTTTTGAAGTAGAGTGTAACATATTTTCCCCTCACACAAGTGGTGGTCCCTCATCGCGCTCTTCTTGCGTGTGTGTGTGAACACACATCTTTCCCATTAGAGCTGCAGTGAGAGGAATGCATGCAGTGTCTGTGATAATGAGTCTATCCTCTCTGTGCATTTCAACGGCAGCACAACACATTCTTCAACACACACATGCATCTGTGTGATCAAATGTTAATACTTGTGTATGTTTCCCCCTGCAGCTCAGACCACGATCGTGGGACTTTTCTACCACAAAATGCACAACTACTACAAAAAAATCAGCCCTCTACAAACAAGGTAAAGTGTGTGTGTGTGTTTCCTGTTGTACATCATGTTCTTGCGAGCTTGTCTTTATCACTGTGGTTCTCTCATCTGGGCCTCTGCGTCTGATACTCCCAGCCATTAAGTCGACTGATAACACTCTTTCCATCTTAACACAGCCATGATCAGTACTTATCTCAAATAATTTTTTTTGTTTTTTTTGTTTTTTTTAGCACAGCTCTGGAACTCAGCTGGCCTCTTTTTTGTGTAACTGAACTGGCCAACAGAGCTGAGAGCTGCTGCAGGGTAAAATCTTGTTGATGTCTAAACATTCATGAGAACCCAAAATAAAATTGATACAAATGTTATATGCGCTGTCAGTTATACAGTATTGTAGACTGCCAGTTTGTGCATTAGTGATGTGTTGTTCCTTACACCAGTAGGTGGCAACAAGAGATTGTCTTTATAAGTGAGTCAGTGAATCATTCATTCATCTGATTTGTTCAAAAACACTGATTCATTTAGCAAGGAAACAAGTGAGTCTTTGAATCATTCATTCAACTGATTTGTTCAAAAGCACTGTTTTATATAGTGAGAGCCGGCCCAACCTAATAAGTGATATACACGGTTGCATAGGGCCCCGTGGCCACCAGGGGGACCCATGTCAAGGTTCAGACAGTAATGCTCAGTAATAATAATTTTGATAAAGTTTCAGTTGCGTGTGTTAATGTTTGAAAATGAAGAGGCAGCACTATAAAACTAGTGCTGACTGCAGAGAAGTGGAAAAAGAGCAAAGAAAGTGAGCAAGGATTTTGAAAATATATTGTTTAAATGGCGGTTGCTGCATCGTGAAGACGTGCTGTGCCAATGGAAGAACAGTAGGCTAATAAAAATGAATGGTATTGTTATCATGGGCCCTTCAAAATACGTGAATAATTCTAGATATCTTATTATAGTTTTCGATTTTTAGAACGAACATTTTCTTATTTTCCATCGACCAGTTACAACACTGCACGTTTGCTGCGTAAAAGTTCAGTCAGATTTTCTCATTGATTTGAACAAAAGCAGCAGACGGGCTGAATAAAAATGCAAGTTCACTCACTCTCTGACGGGAGGTGGCGCTTTAGGAACAGCAGAAATACATCCGTTACCGTTGTTACCCCTGTACAAAGGAAGTCAAACAGTATTTACATGTTTTCAAACAGCCATTCAGATTTTTTTTTATTCACTTTGGTGTTTATCAAATAACGTCAAATATTTAAATATGATTTAAAAATCACAAGAAAGCAACAGTTAAATAAACAGTTAAACGTTTAAATAGTTATTTAAATGTCTAAATGTTAAATGTTTAAAAAAATGTTAAAAGTGCTTAATAAGTAAATATATCTTTATATTTATGTATTTAAAGATAAATACTGAGTAGATTCTGATTAAGGCAGTTTGGGCATTTATAAACCAGGGTTATTTTAGTTAACTAAAATTAAAAATATTAAAAAACATTTTGTTTCTTGAAATAAAATAAATTTTAACTGAAATAAAATACTTAAACTCTTTTATTTTAGCTAGTTGACAAGGCAAAATTTCCCATTTTCATTTAGTTTATCTTGATGTTCTAAAATAACTAAAATAAAATGTAATAACTATATAGGCATTGAAAAACAACAACAAACAATAAAATTACTAAAACTTTAACTAAAATCAAAATGATAGCAGAAATTATAAAAATAATTCAAAATATTAACAAAAACTGTAATAGTACCTGAATGATACTTAAATAACATTGCTTTAAAATAAGGTGTCAGTGTAAGATGTGTACAATGGGCAATGGGGGGCGGTTATGGGGGGGCCCTCTTTTGAAAATCTGGCCCTGCATTTAGAAAACAAGTGAGTGAATGCATCCGAAATTGCATACTTCACTAAAATATTGAGTGGTGCGATTTCGGATGCAGCCTGTAGGTCATTAAATCACTCATTCAAATTATTTGTTCAAATTCTGTTACTTCCTGTTTAATGCTATGAAGCTGCTTTGAAACAATCTCTATAGGATAAAGCCCTATGAAAATAAATGTGACTTGACTTAAAAACACTGATTCATTCATCAAGTAAGTAAGTCATTAGTTCAACAGATACATTTAGAAACACTGATTAACGCAGGAACAAAACAAACAGCACTACTGTTGCTCTGAGATGCTGAACAGTTGATTCTGCTGTAGTCTCGCGTAGCCAGACATTCAGACTGGCGGCAGAAGGTCTGGGAGCCTTGGCTGCTTTGAGTGGCCAAGGACCGCCCAAGAGGCCATGTGACTGACAGGTAAAGCAACCAATCACGTTTCGTTTTGTGCCGCATCATGTTTAGGGGCGTGGAAATGTCCCCACAATAACAGACCGGTGTGTAAAACTGTTGGACGTATTTTAAAGAGTCTGTACCGCGAACATATTTCACATACTTTTGAAAACCTAGTGTTTAGTTGATCCTGATAAACGCTCATTGATTCAGTTGTAAACAAAACGGCTTTCTTCTTCAATGGGGGGGTTTGGCATCACAGCATATTTGTTTCCAGGCGGAACATTAAAGAACGCGAAACACATCTCCCGAAAATCCTGTAGAATTTAACCAATCAGATGACGACTTCGAAACAATTTTGTGTGCCATATGCATCAGACGTTCAGCCAACGGTCCATGGTTGTGACGTCTGAGGCTGAGACTAATTCTGCTGTGGCTTAGTTTGGAACTATTTTCATTGGCAGAGCAAAAACAGACAATGTAACTGAATAATGTAACTGCCAGTGATTACCTCTTGTTTAACGAGCTGTTCTGTAAAAACAAAATCACAATCTTGCTGTTGTTCTCTTTAGATATGATTATTATTATCTTAATGCTACCATTACGTGTTATTATTGGTACGATATTAGTTCTTTGCAGATAGCTGTCATTAGCATCGTTTTCTTTGCTCATTATGTAGAGTTTGTACAGTAGTTGAAGTGTGGACAATAACTGACTGTCCGTCTCTGCAGGATAAATGAGGCAGTGGATTTTAAAGATCATAAGATCCAGATGGCCAGTCATCTTATTTCTCTGAAGGTGGAACCCTCTCCTGCCCTGTCACTCAACCTGTCCACTGAGCCGCTCATCCGGATCGTCCTCACGCATCAGCTGGTAGGAGAACATCAATCCTCATCTCATTTTGTTGATATTGGCGTTCAGTCAGGAGTGCGGGTGCTTGTGTGCATTTGTGTGTATAACAGTTATTTGGTATGTTTGAAAGATAATACATATTTTAAAAAAATATATATTTTGCTTGACTAAGATGACGAAAAAAATGTGTACAACAACGGCTTTAGGATCAAGCAGAAAATTCAACCAACCATTTCATTTAGCAGTGAGCTGATCAAACGCACTCAGACTCATCAACCAACATCTGGCTTTCAGCAAATCAGTTAGACCGAATGCAATTAACATAAATTCATATTAATGACCGATCTGGCCTGGCAGATTCAGCACCAAGCCGGTGAGAGAAAGTACATTTCCAGAGGAGAGAAGACATGCACAACAGAAAAGAAGAAAAGTTGTTTTTGACAAAAAATATAACTTTTTACAGTCATAGCTGTCTCAATATTTTAGGCCTAATTTAAGTTACTAGAGTATCTGATGGTTTTGGAAGCTTTCAAAAAGTATCTTGTGTTTCCATGGCAAGTGGACATTTAAAACAGTGTCATGCATGTGAAGAGAGACTGATGAGATTTCTAATGCATCCCCACACATTTCAGGCCATTTGTGACAGTGTATTCTGAACATTGAGGTTTGATTGATACATAGATTTATTCTGAGACTTTAGTCTAACCAGAATCATCCCTTTATATTTCTTAAACGGAACAGAAATGATTCTAATTAGTTGTAGGAAAACTTTCAAAGACCACTTTTTTTTTCTTTCTTTTTTTTTTGTTGCTGCTGTCACTGTGTTTGTGGTTGTGTCTTTCGGTGAGCCGTGTTACACAAGAACCCCAGAGTTCAGAACTGCCAGGACTAACCATGGAAATCCATTTCGGTTTGCATCATTCCTTGCACTTTTTTTTTCAGCTCTGAAACATCTAGAGCTTTGCTCTAAAAGAAAAGTGGTTCTGAATGCTGGAGCCATAAGCCTTGAGGTCTTTTGAGAAGGGAAAGATGATTTGGTTTAACAAGGAGTTTATTTGGCATGTGTGCGCAGATGCTAAGACTCAGTTGAGGATGCATCTGTCTGCCAAATTTCCATGGGAAACCCATCAAAAATGGATACAGATGGCATGTAGACAAGTCAACCAATACAGCATGTTTTTGGAGAGTATTTGCTAAAAAAAAACAAGGAGTTCACCGTAGCATTGGATTTCACACACCACGTTACACACGTTATTCATCAGCTAACTCACATTTGACAGCTCACTATGCTCTTGACCGTTATATAAGATCTGCTAACCTTTGCATTCTGTCATAACCCTCCTAAACAAAGACTTGTTTCATTAAATAAACAAGAAACTCATATACAGCATAATACCCTCAAAGAAAAAAAAACAATATAAATGAGCAGTCGTTTATTTTTTCATTGTTCTTTTAAAAGCATTTTTAGAGCTTTCCAAATCAAAACCATGATGGCATGCATGTAACTATAGAGACTAACGTTTGTTTTGCTGGCTTTTTATGGTTTTGTGAGAGATGTTTATTTCGGTGATGTTTGTTGATGGAAATGTGTCTTTGAACAAAGACCATTATGCTGAATAAAAGGAGCCTGCTAAAAGAGTAAATCCAGAAACATGCTAAAAGAGATAGTTTAGCAAAAAATGACAATTCTGTCATCATTTACTCACCCTCCACTTGTTTCAAACCTTGTATGAACTTTCTTCTGCTGAATATTTGGAACCAAACAGTTAACAGTAGCCATTGACTTCCAGTATATATGTATTTTTTTTTATTTTCCATGTCTGTGCTACACATTATTCAGACATTTTAATTTCCTTTGGTCATAGTTTGAGTGATTTGTCTAATTAATCCTGGGGCACTGGCTTCCTATGTGTGGGACTGTCCAGAACAGAGGCATTAGTGTCAGTCCAGTGTTTCTTGAGTAATGTATGTGAGCTGAATCACTAGATCAATAATCTGTCACTGCATATGTGATGGAGTACAGTGATAAGACTGTTTAAGATAATGGTCTCTGTGTTGTGTTTTAGCCAATGTCTTGTTAGGTAGAATGATTCAACTACCGTTAAACATTAGTGAATTAAATATAAATTGTCTGTGGTTTTTTGGAGGTTGTCGCCGCTTCTCATGGGAAATTCCCCCTGTGATCAGAGCGAGATTTGTGTTGGTTTATTGCCTTTGAAATACACTGGAGATTTGCAAAGCTACATATTTTCAAAATCAACTGTTTAAGGAGTAGTTTGAATGACTAGTCAACTATTTGGTCTTAAGTAAGCCCTTTATAATAAAGTTAATTTAGGATCATGTTCAACAGACACCGTTCAGATGCATTTCTTTGCAATAAATGCTACCATGCAGTTTGGGGTCTGTAATTTTATTTATTTATTTATTATAATGTTTTTATTTGTTTCTTTTTAAAAATATTTTTTTTAAATGTTTCTTATGCTCACTAAGGCTGCATTTATTTTGATCAATAATGATCAAACTTTTTAGCAGTAGATATGAACACTAAATACAGCCATTACTGAAGTCTGACAAATATTGTTTTAATTGTAATTTATTGTTCAAGGCAGTGGATTTGTTACAAAACAGGTGCTTTGATGGCTATAGCTTGTCGTCTGGCAGTGGACTAGTTTACTCTTAATTGTTTAACAACCAACTTGTCCATTTGTAAATTTAAAGGAGATGAATATAGATGCAACTTTCCTTAAAATAGTGTCTCAATGTGTTTTGCGCTTTAAAGCGCTGCCACTAAAATATTAAAGCTAAGCAGTTGTTGGATGGCTAGTTAAACATCCTGACCCATCCATAAACTACAAAGACTGCAACCTAAGGAACAATCGAGAAACTAAAAGCAGCAATAACCTCATCTCATCTTTCCATCTCTTTTCTCCTTTTCTTCCCTCTCCACTCCTCACCTGTCTGGTCTCTCACTGGCACGAGGTGAACAAATGGAAAGAGTGATTTCATGAGGAATGCTGGCGATGCTCAGTGTCGAAATCAAGAGGATTAAAAAAAAGATTTCTGACAAGCTCTCCCTGCCTTTACAACCTAATAAAGCTTCAGCGGAGCAGACACGAAACAGAGACGCCACACATACTGAGCGCGAGCGTGCATCTGTCGCGCTGTGTGTGAACGTGTACTTGCACATATGTTTACACTAACCAAAGGCATTACTAGAGGCTGTTTATTCATTTTAATACAACGAAACTCCAAATTCGATGTGTATATGAAGTAGCCTGGACATTATTGGTGAATGGTACTGGACACAAAACCACATTCACATGAACACAGCACAATGGATGATCCATTGTGCTGTGTTCATGTGAATGCGGTTTTGTGTCCAGTAAAGATGTTTATGGGTGAATTACTGAACCGCGAGCAGTTTTTTGACCAGAAAGTATTTCCGCTGTGGTTCAGATATAATCACAGATTCACACAGCCCTAATGGCAATACAACTTGTAAAAAATCTCACCAATTCTGACACACATTTTGATGGATGACTGAGTACTTTTGTTGTCCACATAGTACAGTTGGGGTTTTTAAAGGTACAATAATGAGCAGTGCTCACCGCCAGACCATTTTTATAACTCGCACACCCAGTTCCTGTCTAAACTCACTCACTCAAGCGCCTGCTTACACACTCCCTCGCTCACACAATTTTCAATACCAACTTAAAGAGATTGCAGTCTGTCAGTCATATAATGGAAGTGAATGGGAATCACGACTTTGAGAGTCAAAAAGACATACACAAACAAAACCAAATTAAACCCTGCGGCTCGTGACAATACATTAATGTGTAAAGACACGAAACGATCGGTTTGTGTAAGAAACTGAACAGAATTTTATCGTTTTTTACCTCTGATTCACCACAATGTCCGAACTGTCCTGAGCGCGTTCTCAACAGCTGGCGTGTGACGCGTCTTCTTCTTCTTGCTTTACGGCAGATCGCAGACTTATAAGTGCATTACCGCCACCTTTCTCTCAAATGGACCATTGACACTCTATCTACAATCTCAATGACTGACAGACTGCAACAGTTTGAGTTCAAAATCTTCGTTTGTGTTCTACTGAAGAAACAAAGTCACCTACATCTTGGATGCCCTGGGGGTAAGCAGATAAACATCAGATTTTCATTTTTGGGAAATGAAATGAAATCTTATCACAATTATTTTTCATGTTGGTTTTAAAGACTGTTTTGCAAGTTACTGAGCAGTACAGCCAAACTAATTTCCCTATTTAAAAAATAAGAGACTATTTAGGCTAGGGGTGATTAGGCTAGTATTATTGTGAAATATTATTACAATTTAAAAGAACTGTTTTCTATTTTAATATACTTTTAAATGTAATTTATACCTGTGATGGAAGCTGAATTTTCAGCAGCCATTACTCCAGTCTTTAGTGTCACATGATCATGATCATGTTCTAATTTGCTGATTAAATGCTTAAAGGGATAGATCACCCAAAAATGCACTTTATTTAGCTTCAAAACCCCAACCACCATTCACCATTCATGCCATTATAAAGCTTGGAAGAGCCAGGAAATTTTTTTTAAATAACTCAGATTGTATTCATCTGAAAGAAGAAAGTCACACCTAGGATAGCTTGAAGGTGAGTAAATCATAGGGGAATTTTCATTTTTGGTTGAACTATCCCTTTTATATATATATATATATATATATATATATAAACAGCTGTGCTGCTTCATATTTTTGTGGAAATCACTCTTTCGCTCACTCGTTGATTAACTCGTTCGCTCCCTGACTCATTCATTCAATCTCACCTTCATTCACCTACTTACTCAATCATTGATTGCTCACCCACTCATTTATTCAAACACTCACTCAGTCACTCATTCTTCTCCAATCTTTCTTTGAATGTGTCTTTGAGTTGGTCTGGCATCCCCCTCTGTCTTTATTTCCCGTTCCTCTCTCATGCTTTCTCAGATGAATCAACATAGTCTATAGCAGATGGTCTGGCTCAA